GCATCGCCGCCCACAGTGCGAGGTGGTGACATTAAAATCCAAACTCCGCTGCATGTCGTTTAATTAAAAAATGCCCCAAAAGCATTTACCCAAACCATAGGTTGTATTTAAAAGGGCAAAAAACCAATGCAACCATTGATGCAGTAGGAAAAGGGATGTGTGCATTTTAATGAAAACGGAAACCAAATAATCAGCAAGTGACAATCTCCCAGGGTGGTGGTCAAGCTCAGATGAAATAATACCACACTGGTAAAAAAAAAGGCTGCAATCTTAAGTACTGCTAAAAATTTGATTTTGTTTGTTGCTTTAGTTTATTCAACTTTTTATTTATTTATTATTTTTTAAAGTTTTCTGTTACTGTATCCAAAAGTTTTTGTGAATGATAAATAAAATTTTGGAAATAAAATATCATGATAAAATGAAATTAGCTTTAGTCTTTTACTTTCTATTTTGTCATCTTTTTATTTTGACAGCACAGTTAACCACCTCTACATTTTTGGTGGTCAAACCTTAGATGATCATTATACAGAGTAATTAAAAAAATATTTTTTTTTTGCTATATTATACAAAAGGTATTTTTTAATGTGCAAAGCTGAACAATGCGGCAGTGCGAAATGAGAAAAGTGCAACCCGTGGAGCGTATGAATTTAATGATTTAATCGCAGTCCCTCGCCCCTTTTTTTTGCCACGCCTTGTTGACACTGCATGCGTGTCGAGAGAATTTGTCAAAAAATGCAACCGCCGTTGGCAGCCTCAAGGGAAATTGGACAAAGCCAAGTGGACTTGGCTTGAGCTCGGGGTTGCACTTGGCCAAGTTATTGACTTTGTGTCTCTGTCAAATCCTGGCATGTGGTCAACATTTAAGTGTAATTAATGCCCGCGGCCAGTCGCCAGTTGCATTTCATTCTATCTCCTCCCACGGATGCTGGAATATGAAAACCAAATATTGCGCTTAATTTGATTAGCGTGTCTGCGCCCAGATTCCGATTGCATTTTTCGGTTTTATTTGTGCATCCCAGCCCGCGGCAATTATTGCTTCCGCCGTTGTCCTCTTCCGGTGAGAGCTCTTTCTTTATTATTTTTGCGGTGCGATACACCGGTTTTAGAATTGGCAATATGGTAATTTTTGCATCGGAAAGAAAATGTATTTTTTGGAAGAGATTTGCATGGGAGCAAAGAGGCTAAAAATTCTAGCCTTTAAAACAATTTAAATGTAATGTTAAAATGTAGTTTTCAACGCCTTTAATCGGAAATTAAGTTTGGTGCTATAGAAGTACAATCAATAGACCCACAAGTCAACTAACAATACGCTGCGACTTTCAATTCAAAAACTGTACTTAAAAATATTTCATTTATTTAAAGAATACGCGATTTATTGATTTATCTAAAGTATTTCAGCACTTACTATTACATTTTAGACATTTCTCCTTTTAGGGAAATGTAAGAGAATCTCTTCATTTTGGTCTTTAGGGACTTAACATCTTTTCCATCAGTTTCTTCCTTTTAATTTTCTCAGGAGGTGGTCGCCAATCGAAAGTGTTTCTACTTTGGTAATTAATAGTTTTCCGAACTCAGAAACTTCTAAACACTTTGAACTTTCGAGAACTGTATGCAAATGTGCCATCAAGTTCAGTTCCTTTTCTTGGCTGACTTTCTTAGGCGGGCAAATTGAATTTCCTTGGGTCTATTGAAAGGTTTTCCAATCCCATAGTTTCCATTAACCCCAGCTAGTCCCGTGTGGCCTTTGACGCCTCGTGTGTGAAGCGTAATTACAGGGACAAGCCAAGTTCTTCAATTAAAATTTATTTGGTTTTCTTGTGGGGTAGGATTATGTGGTAAGTGTTTGAGTCCCTTTTTAGTTTTGACGTCAAGGTGGAGAAGTTTTGGACGCGCTTCAATGCGGTTTTGTTCAATTTTTAAGCCTTTGTGCCACTGACAAGCCAATTAATGAAGATTTGTGGTCGCTTTATGTAATGAGTTGTAACATTTTTAAAATTTGTAATGACTTCTTGATGTGGAAATATTTGGTTGTTTAATGCAATAAAAAATTTGGAATTTCACTTTAATGCTATACGAAAAAGAAAAAGGTGTTTAAAGGTTTGATGCCAATATTTTAAGTTATTTAGTTATTTATTAAGTAAATTAAAAAATAAAATAAAGTTTTTGTAAAATAAAGTTTTACAATATTTTGAAAATACAAAATTAAAGGCGGCTGTCATATTGACTAAGTCTTAAGAACAAAAATATATAGCCCATTTAACTTTAATCAAACTATTTTTCAATGCATCGCACATCCTTTTAACTTTCGCACAGCAAAAAAAGCCGTTGGCCATATCGAAAACACTCACATACTAAAAAGTATCCAACAAAAAAAGGAGCAAAAACCCCTGGTAGTCATAATGATGACACACTTACCACATAAACCGCACGCACCACATATACCCACCACCGGATCCAACTGAGAGTGGTGCACACCACCCACCGAGGGGTGGGTGAAAAGTACGTGGAACAGGGAAAAGCCCCGAAAAAGGGTTGGCAACTGGGAAAGGCTTCCACAGCTCCAGAATTGCCACTAAAATGCACGCTAATGAGTTTCAATTACGACCAACTGACAAGATGGGACGCTCCGAAACAGTTTTTATTTTTATTGACATGGCATTTGTGTGCCCTCATCCTCATTTCGACTGGCTGTTTTCGGTGTCGTCGCTTCTGTTGTCAATTTGCGTAAAATTTTTGTCCTTTTTTTGAGTGTTTGTTTGTCGCTACTTTGATTGAAACTAAACGACGAGCTGAGCTGCAACTGAAGGTGTGGCAATGGGCAAAAAAAGGGAGGGGTTGTGGAGGAGGGCTTGATTTTAATTAAATCCCCATTCCCGCAAAATGCGGCACAAGCAGCTGAGGCCGTTCTAGTAAACCTCATCGTCCTTTCGTCCTGTGGCATCAATGTCCTCTACTCTGCATCTGTTCGTCACTTGTCATTCTGACTTCGGTTTTGCACTTCAGCGGGGAAGAATTGCAGCTATTAGTTTGCGTAGAAATAAATCCATTAAAAAGAAAACATAATATTTTCAAAATTTGAATGTTATCTTGTAAATTATCTTGTAAATAATACAAAAATTAAATGTTCGACTATGCTTTCATTTTTACTAATATAAAAAGATACATTTTTCCTTGACTTATTTTGAAAATTTAGATAGGCTTATAAATAGCTTAAAAATATTTTTTTGTTTACTTACTCATCCTTAGATAATTTTGTGAAAATATGTTTAACTTAAGCAGCCTAGAATAATTTATTAAAGAACACCTGTTGTTAAATATTTGAAAAGGCTTGAGCGTATACCTGAATTCGGTGTAGAAAATAATCCTATCGTCATACTTGTTTTTTAAAATCGTAAACTTTTATGATTACAAGAGCCTTAGTGCGTTTGTTGTTATTTGTGTTGCTGCTGCTGGTGTTGTCGTTTACTTTGTGGCCTGGAGTCGTAGTCGTTGTTGCCATTGGCACATGTTACAGCGAGCGAGACTCATCTAAATGGTTATGGCGCCGTGCATTTTAAATAATTAATGGCCGAATGGAGAGCAAGTGGAGTGGAGTACAAGTGCATTGCACACAAACCCAAGCCGGAAAACAGGAGCAGCCAACTCGACGGGAGCGCCACAAATGTAATAAAAATGTTGGGCCAAAACTTTGACCAAGAAGCCGACAACGAAGCAGAAGTTTTCCGACTTTGGCCAAAAATCGACTCGACTGCATTTCAATTCCCAAACGATTATAAACTACCGACCGTTTGCAAATTTAATTTACAACTGCCAAAGTGAACAAACCGCAACAAGAGCTCGGAGCAAAGTTTTTACTTTGTTAAAGTCGGAGGGCAGAGCAGACTTTTATTTGCCACCTACACAACAACTTTTGCTAGAGGGTCAGTTGGCAGCTGGAGCTCTTGAAATTAGCTGCTAACTGGGAAATGTACACGCACTTAAAGAAAAACAGCAGTCATACAAAAAAATAAAAAAAAAAAATACTTATACAAATATTCTTTAAATAAGTCTTCTTATAATCATTTTTCGTTCATAGAAAAAATTTATATATTTGAAACTTTTGTATAATTGCAAGGAACGTAAATTATTATTGTAGATTCATTTAAACGTAGTTTAAATAAGAACTTATTTATACTCATTTTAAGTAAACGATTTTTAAAACAATTTTCGCTATAATTATTTAAAAAAAAATGTAGTTCAATTACTTTAATAAAATAAATAAATAAAAATAAGACAAATACTTCTCACTAATTAAATAAAATTGAATTTATTAAATTATAAAAATTGTTCTTAGTGTGGGATATAAAGGAAAAGTTCTGCAGAAACAGGAAATTATGTTTATTATTACTTTGGCACACACAACCTGGACTCCGAGTGGCCAAAAGCTGCTCCCCGAACAATATGCAAATGTGCGTCAGGCAAAGGAGCCTCAAAAGACTTCAAAAAGGAGATCCCCAATCCCATTCTCACTCGTTGCCAAAAACTTCAAATTTAAATTAATAAGACGGGAGCCGGGACCGCCTGGCTAGATGAGCTTCGTTAGTCCCGTGGAGCATCATCATCAGCAGTTTCCTTGGAGTGCACCCTAAATTGCACTTTAATTGCACTTTAGGCGAGAGCCAGTCGATGGGAAAAACTCAAAAGTTTTGTTTCCCTTTGCTAAGGAACATTTTCGGCCATTGTCTAAATGGGGTGCCGACGGGAAATTGGTAATCATCATAAATAAGTGATTCAAATTAATTAAATTTCGTTTTGCGACAAAAAGCTTTTTTTCAGGAAAGAGCTAATCAAAGTGGCAGCAAAGAGTTATTTAATAAGGGTTTCAATAAAATTTGGTATAAAGGAAAGGTATCGAAACTTAAAATTAAAATCCTTTATATATTTATTATAAATGTTTAGGTCAAATATTTAAATTTCTATTGAAATTGATTTATTATTATGTTTTTGTAGACCAATACGAATTTCATTGAAAATCTTTTATTCAATATCTTAAGTTTGTACTTTGACATAAGCAAATTTCCATACAATCTCCGCGTCAATAAAACTCCGATGCAGTCTGATCACCTGAGTTGCACTTGGCTCAATGCTAGTTTTTCCTCCATGGCCGGAACTTGTTTATCATTATGCTTAATGCCCCTCAGCCATTTAATGTAATCCTCTGGAATTCCCGATTCCCTTGCTCCCTTAACCAAAACCTTAAGGTATGTTTCCGAGGGCTGACGGTTGAGGGGAATATTTTCCTGGGAACCGTTTGCATGAACCTCTGTTTGTGGCTGATTTGACAGGTGATAGGCACGACAGGTGATGCTTGTATCGGTGGTCAACGAGTGAACGGGGACGCTAATCGGGATATATACGCCATCGGGCACACTTTCCTGACTGTGTAAAAGATATAAACGATTTGGATATTTAAATAAATAGGGAGTGAAACCTACTCATCCAAATCCTTGAGGTTGCACATATCAATCTCCCAAATTGCTCCGTAGACATGAGATTCTTCAGTGGGCACAATTGTGGCGGGAGCCCCCAACCAGTTTTTCGATCCAGTGTGGAAGTCCAGACGGAAGTTCTATTGAAAAAAACTTTTACAATTAGTGGGTCTTATTTAAATGTAGCTTTTAAAAACACAATAAAATTTTATATATTCATTATTTTCTTGCATAGATACTTAGATTGTAGCTCATAAAAGAAAATTTTTCTTAACTGACCTCCAATTTTCCTGCTCCGATTCTTTTAGCAGTCGGATTTTGGATGTGGATTCGACTTGCCAGCATATTACTACCGAAACCGAAATAAAAGAATTTACTGGCCATATTTGTGAGGAAGTTGGATCTGGAAAAAATAAAAGGTTTTAAACAAACACCGAAAAGATTCAAAACATGCTTCTAGTTTTAGAAGCACTGAAAGTAGTTTATAAAACAAAACCTCAAAACTGGGAACTCAACAAGCAGCACAGCTACTGGGCAAGCAGTGATATTTGTCGCGGTTGTTGTCTTGGCTAATACAATTTAATATCTCTTTTTCAAAATTGATATATTTGCACAAGCAAATCAGAAAGTTTCATAAAAATATAATGCATAACATATTGAAAATTATTTTAAGTTCTTCGTTTTTTCACTAATTTTTTAATTTTTATCACATATGCCGCGGCCCAGCTGTTTAAAAGCTGCTATTTGTTATCTGCCATTGAGCTTTTAAATCGTAAATTAAATCAGCTGTTCGGCCACATAAATATGTTTTATACTTAAGGAAAAAACTTCAATAATATGAATTATCTACCTATTATCTGCTTTAGTAACTTACATATGTCTGTACTTAGTGTTTTTGAATCCAAAATATTGTTGTACACGTCAACTTAAACTATACAAATATTTTGTTTACTCGTTTCGGACGAACAGAGGGAAGTGAACTAAACTGACATTGACAATGATAATACAAGTTTGGAAGAAGTGGAATGAGATAAACGCTAAACTTTTAAATGGTAATCAAAAGCTTTTTCTCACCCACAAATAAAGAGGTTTGAAACTTAGCCAATGACTAGGAACACATTTTTTTAAAATCAAGGAACTGGAACTGTACCCATTAGCTAATACTTAAACCAAACCGGAGCTTTTTTTAAAGAATTATTAATATTTAAACGATAATACAGGAGTTTTTAAACTTCTCGGCGACATTAATGTTCGACAACAAACCAAGACAAAAATTAAACAGTTTCTTATGTCCTTCAAATTAGTTTTCAAAACAAAAAATTTTAAGGTAAGGCTTTACTCATGAAAACAAATCAGTACATTCGAAGTTTAAACTATTTAGAGTTCAACATTCTGCAGCTCTAGTTTTTGCTCTAGTTCGGTGGCAACGTGACCATTGTGTTTGATGCCCTTTAATCTCCGGACGTAATCCTGGGGAACGGAGCTCTCGACAGCACCTTTAACGAGGCACTGGAGATACGTTTTCGATGGCTGACGAGATGCCGGAACAGAATCCTTTGGCAGATCGTAGAGATTGGTCTCCGGCTGCTTGGTCAGAAGATAAGCACGGGCGGGAGTTTGATCAGAGTCATCACGGAGTTTCACGTAGACTGTGAGAGGATCGTAAATGCCCTCATGAACGCCCTCTTGGCTAGAAAAAAATATAATAATATAATACGATTAAACGATTTTTAAAATGAATGCTAAATGATTCCGATATTTAACTTAAATTAGATAATCAAGTAAGCTAAGAGAATATATTGAAAAATGTAGTAAATTCCCAAGCAAAATAAAGTATTATCATTTAATTTTGTAATGTCAAAAACGTAAACATCACTTTAATCGGGAAAACATAGAATATGTAGATCGAGATCCGCGGTTACTTACTTGTCTATATCCGGCAGATTGCTTAGGCCGATCTCCCAGAGGGTGCCCCAAACATGATCGCCCGGGGTGGGCACAATGGTGGCCACCGCGCCATCCCAACGAGCTGATTCGAAGCCAAAGTCCAACCGATAGTCGGCAAGGAGGGCGGGTCCAACTCTCACAGCTGTCGGGTTCTGGATGTGGATCCTTTTGGCCAGCATGTTGCTGCCGAAACCAAAGTACAGGAACGTATGACCCCGCACCTCCGGCAGATCCAAAGTGGCATTAACACCTCCGATGCTGTGGCATTGAGCTCTAGGAATAGTCACCAACAGGCAAGCACCGATAAGACATGGCCAATGCATTGGAATTTTTTGTTCGATTTAACTACCCCGAGTGATTTGATCTGGCCGGAGGTTGAATGGCTACTGAGCGATTATTTCATTTTCAGGTTTGTCTGACTTGAAAGGTTTCTCTACTTTGTTTTGAGGTAAACACAATCGTACACGACGTTTGTACTTAAATTTCTTTATTAAGTTGACCTTAATAAATATTAAGTACGTTTGTCCTTAAATCGATTTATTAAGTTGACCTTACTAAATATCTAGAAATACCTGTTACTTCAGTGGGAAAGAAGGCTATAAATTACTTTTTGTTGCATATTAAATAATTTTTTTAGCAGAGAGAGGGTATAACAAGAATGTTTCTTCTCAATTGCTCAATTTGTCTATTGTAATGTAATCAGACGGACGTAATCTTAAATAATTTAGTTTGAAATATTACAATTGTTCTTGGATGCTCTTTCGTGTGTGTTTTATTTTGTCAGTATTTTGTAGATTACAGAGTCATGTAAATCCGTTTGAAATTTATTTAAAAACGGTTTTAAATTCTAAAAACTCTACTCCTAAGTAGCTTGTATAACATAGTTAACTAAACATTTGGCTTATACAGATATATATCCATATCACATTTGGTTATCGCTGAAATGTGTGTAATGGTTAATTTAGTAGATACGTTTGTGTACATTTGATATTTTGGGTCAATTGTTTCTTATCTCTCTGTAGATAACAGCTCATGTTGTGATTGGTTTTAAAATTTATTTCGTTTTGTGGTTGATCTTGAGTGGGAGCATCTTGTTTATACAATAATTTTATTTTAAAAGTAAACTGTCAACATGCAAGCAAGGGGCACCAAAAACCGAATCGTTTGGCTTTCGATTTCAATATTTGGTGACAATGATGGCAATCTATCAGGGGGAAAAGGAAAACAAATTGCGACTGTTTGTTTGGGGGCGCCGCAATGACAGGCGTTTGCTGCGCGAATGTATTTTAAATGATTTTTGCGATTTTATTGCGGAATTTGTTGCATGTTCGCGATGGATGTTGGTGTGGCCTGCGGCGGCAATTTGGCCAGTTTGACATGGTTTCTGGCCAAAACCGAAACCAGATGAGATCCGGACAGCACAGGCTACAGGAATTGAATGCGTTAAGAGGTCTGACATGGTCGGTATGACAGCTGCACTTTGCGGTGATTTATCTGTCTGACTGCGAAGGGCAGGCAAAAACATGGATTTTTGATAATGACAGCTGCCTCTTTCATAAAAATCACTTAATTTAAAATATTGTGATAGTGGTACCATTTTTGCCAGTAGTAAGTGCAGCCTTTAATAATATTATTTATTTGAACTGTTCATGCTTAGAATAGTGTAGTTATGTATATAGAATATCTTAAAGGTATTTACTAGCAGAAATATCTCAGTTATGTTTAACTTTTGTTGGTTTCTTCGAAAATTAAACGTATGCAAGCATTGCTTTTTGGAGAAAGAGCCCGAGTTATCGTCTGCAGCCACTCAAGAATGTCACTTAACTGGCTTAATTTATGGCACTACTTGCCGCAAATCATTCAATTGGCTGGCTCATCTTAGGCCTGATGGCCAGAAACAAAAACAGGCGCCGGCATAAATATTCATACATGCGTGCTGCCCCGAGGGACCCTTTCACCCTTTAAATCCTTGTCATTGTCCCCGTATCTTTGCTGGTTTTCACGCACACATGAGCACGTAAGGAGCACAAATGATCACAGCATAGTCATCGTCATCACCATCATCTGCCCCATCTCCAGCGTCATTATCCTGAGCGGTATTAGGGGCAAACAGAGAGAAAACATACATATTTACTGCCAAAACATATCTATACCGTGCCCATATTCATAGATACTCGAATCGCACGTAATTTGAATATTCCGCCTTTCACGGCATTCAATGCGATGCCATCGAAATGCCAACTGTAGAGTCATCATTTATTTCTCCTATCTACCGGTAGTTTTTGTCATGTAAATATCGCACATAAAGTGTCTTTCGTTACATTCAGCCGGAAAAAAAAAACAGTCACATACAGACAGCAGCCATATGATAAATGGATTTTCCGCCATCGCGAACTTTGGATGTCGCACGCAGCACTTGGTTGCCGCTTGCTTTTACTCGTTGGCTTTCCTAATTTAAAGTTTTTCGCGCAAAAGTTTAACGTTTTTATGCACGCACACGTGGCGTATACGTACTCGTTTATCTGTGCATAAGCATATTTTATGTGCTCAGATCTTTTGTGTTGCGAATCGCTCATAAGTTTGATGGCATCGCCCATAGATGATAAATAACACTCATTTCGGAAATGGATTCTGAAACAGTTTGCTAACAAACTTTATCATGGTGTTTATCAAAGATGGAAATTGTTAAGAATGTCCAGCAATTTTATACATGGATCCGTTGGCCTTTATAATAAAACCTTTATTATTTGTTACAAATGTATGAATCTTAATAAGGTTGGTTTTCAATTTGTATGCAATGATACAATTAACTTTAATTCAATAATCAATTTTCTACTCAAAGTTGTATTTGCAACAAAAAATTCCAATGTTAGTCTATCTTTTGTTATTTAAAGATCCAAACAATTTCTTACTTTAAATTGTCTGATTGAAGTTGAACGGTAAGAGCTGTTTTATAGTTTTAATCAAATAAACTCTTTGTGTATTCAAATTTCAGTAATCATTAGATATTTGTTTTCGGTTGTTGGATTTATGTCAATTTAATGTACCAGTAAAAGTGCAAATTGAGCTAAATAAATATTTCACAAAGCGTAAATGAATCAATTAACTGCAATGCCGTAGTGAATAAAAAAATACAAAATTATTTGCATTTCATTTTTTTTTTTTTTTTTTGTACAGTTTTAATTAATTTTTAATGTTCAGCAAAGACTACAATGAAAAAACGAAACAGAAACTGGACGAAGCTAAATCCGCAAAGGATTTACCACGTGTTCGCTTAGTGGGTGTTCGAGTGGATACTTCTATGAAATGAATTACCAACAAGGCCTAACACGAGTCTGCCATTAAAATGATTGAGCCGCAAACCAAAGAATCCACAATAAACATCCGCCCAAATTCCCAAGTAAACGGATTAAATTTCCGATTTCCGATATGCAAAGCGGAAAAGAGAAATGTTGTTTAACAAAAGTCAAATACTCTGATAATTCCTGTTTTTGTACAAGCCTGCACCCAACTTAATTATGTCATTGTATAATTGATAAGCATAAAAATAAAAATAATTTTAATACGAAATAAATATTTCGTTAATATGTAACAGTACGAACTAAAATAATTTAAATTTGATTTTGTTGGCCTAACATCATTTTTGTAAATGAAATTTTGTACTAATTAGTATTTATTTATTTATTAGTAACATTTAAATATATATCTATTTAGTAAAACAACTGTCATTGCTGAGCATCTTTTAGGTAGGGTATAACTATGACTGAAAGATTTCGTAATCAATTTAAGCGCTTGAAGTATCAACAAGGACTCAAAAACCGTTGGCAAGTCACGTTGTTTGATATCTGCCGACACACGGCGAAGCTCCTTGATGTGTGGTCTTGTCGCAGGGAAAACTTTTCGGCAGGTTCGCAGCTCAAATATTTGCTTGGGAACTTCGCCAGCACGATAGAAAGGGAAGCTGTCGTATGGCAAGGAAAACATATTTTTTGTGGCTTAACGTTAAAAATATATATTCTTTAGCCCAAAAAATATTCACAAAAGCAGCAGTGATGTACGAGTTGAAGTGTGAGTTGCAGGGACTTGACCTCAACTGAACTCACTTCACCAATCAACGTCACTTCAGATAAGAAACGAGTGTGCTAGGGTAATATTTTTATTTTTGCGCACCTTTTTTTAATAAACTTAGCATACTCAAATTGCATTTCTTCAAGTGGGGTATCAGGGAAAATTTGAATTTATCGTTAGGACATTATTAAATTTTATTAAAGATTTATTTTCTAAATTGTCTAACCACAAGTAAACAAAACCACAGCCTAGGATAAAACAACTTCGTATGTGAGTTTTGTGCTTGCTCCAATTATTTCATACGGAGAAAATGTATTTTAATCTATGCTAAAATTTGTTTTACTCGAGATAGTATATATATATATATATATGTATAAGACGAGCTTAAAAATGTAGTTTTAAATTAGGTCCAAGTGTTCGCCGAAGTTTAGTTAGCAGAGCTTAAAATAGTTAATCCTTATAGTCGATCCATATAGTTCAACGCCGTTCTTCTTTATGAACCTGTTTATTTTCTCGAAGTGTAAAAAAGCAATTGGGGCAGAATAAAACGAAATTAAGTTCAATTTCAAGGCAGGCCTAATTGACCACATTACGCATACGCAGTGTTTGCCAAAGCTCAGCCTGCAGATCTCAACCGGATAAGCATCGTCGCATCATCATAATCAGGCAACTCTTATCGGGGGCATCAACATTATTAGCAAACGCCATCGCCGACAACAAAGTGATAAACTGCCCGACATCCAGGCATCGGGGAGTCAATTACATAGCGATGCGTCGATGTCGAAGTAGTTGGCTCGCCTGTTTCGCTTGACAAGCTCGTTAGAATTTATGTTTGCTTGTTTTTCAGGAAGGTGGGGATCTAGGATGCTCCTCGCATGACGCACTCATTTTGTGACGCAGTCTCCCGGTCTCAACAGGAATCAAGGGGTTAGGACTCACTATTATCCTGCTCCAGTTGGTTGTGACAGGCAGCAAATGTCACAATAGCTGCCAATGTTTGGACATTTGTCGATGGCCATAAAACAGAAGCTTAAATATTGGCTCACTATCCGACCGGAGCCATAATGGAGCAGCACTTGAGATGGGCACAAAGAAATTTATTGATGTAAACGAAAACATAAACGGTTACAATCAAATAAGGCAGTTAAACAACATTATGTAAACATTAAAAAAAATATATTTCAAATGCTTTAAGATTTAAAAGTCTTTAAAATACTAATTTTGATCACTTAAACAACTTAAGCAAATGAAAAATCTAGTGTTTTTTTAGGTGCACCTCAAAAAAATTGTTTAAAGTGTAATAACAATGTCACTATTCAGCACACACACTTTTATATGCTTTTAGGTAATAAAAACTGAAATCAAATTAATTTGCTTTAACTAGCTGTTCGATTAAATTTGTGACCTAATTAAAACATTTTTCATTAGCGAAACTAATTTAATTGTTATAGTAATTTGGCCTATAAACTCTCAATAATTATAAGAGAAAAATTGAACATATTATGTCCAGCAATTAAAGAAATTATTAAAAAAAAAAGGTTGGAAAGAAATCTCAATTAAATTGAGTCAATATTAGTTTTTGTTATACAACAATGTATGTCATGTAAAAATGATCCAAAAAATTAGATTAAAAACGGCATTCCGCAAACGATAATTGAAATTAAATGGAAAGCAAATATGGGCCGTAAAAACGTTACAAATAATCAAGCGGAAAAATTTTATTCAGTCAGTAAATAAGTTTTTACGCCAGCGGCCAACATGTTTTCTGCAGAAAAACGTTTTATTGCCTGCCAAAGATTGCCCACAGATAATAATAAATATTTGGAATAAAATCTGTGATTGTCAGTCAGTTATCCGATTGAGTGCAACGCAGAGCCCGCATTCATTGGCAATAAATCAGCGCCGAGCAGGCTTTAACTTTTGCGAAGAGCACCCCCATCAGTCTGTCTTTTCCTAGTTTCGAGTTTTCAGCTGCGAGCCCAGAACCCAGAAACCAAAACCCAGTAGTTGGCAGGAAGAAGCCTGGATCCTGCACATGTTTACATGACGTTGGCCTGACTGCAGTCGCGTCTGCATGCAAAATTAATAAGCCATAACAAGTTGGTTTATGCTGCGGCTTCCTGGGACGGGGAAACCGTGCTTGTTCGGGGTGAATTAATTAACGAGCAGTGAAGGCGTAAAGTTGGGCATTCAAGAAATCTCTGGCATGTCTTTGGCAAAATTTTCACAGAGCCCTAATGTGCATAAAGAAGCTCCTTGAAGAAATGCCCAATTGAGTGTTCCAATATACTCCTAACATATTCCTTACTTTACTTTATTACTTTGATTTCCTAAACTTACTTACTACTCAAGAAAATAAAATTATAGAAGTGCACGTCGTTCATTTTAAAGATTAGCAAGTTAGAGTAAAGTTGAAATTAAATGGCATAGACACTATTAAGTATTTAAGTTTCTTGCTTAGCTTCGGAGCATTTTTATTTGATATCCTAATATTGTTTGATAACCAATTTCTAGTCTACAATAGAGAGTAAATAACAGGCAAAATTAATTTTATAACTTGAACATCCTTAGCTCAAATTTTCTTTTCGGGTGCAGATGGATTATAAAAGTTAAAAAAACCTGACTACAAAGATGTTTAAGTTTCAAAACCAGTCCTCGATCTACACTTACAAAATATATTATTTTGCTGAGAACGAAACCACAACATAAAGTCAAGTTTTAAAATTTTGTAAATTTTGTTTGCAGTTTATTTACCACTTAGCACTTTATAGCACTTAAATTCCCTACCAGGGCAGACAAGTGCGGCGCAATTCGTTGTAGTAACGGCCAGGTCCGCAGGCCCTGTCCTTGCTAGTTTCGTTTCGGGTTGGGGTTTGGGCATCGACGGCGGTGAGCACCAGGCCCAGGAAAACCAGAACACAACCTTGAATGATGTTCATCTTGGCGAATATCGTTGGATGATCTGTCTGTCGGATCTGGGCTCTATTTATACTACACTGCATATCCGATAACTTAACTCCAGATATGGCGATTTAATGGTTATTATTTAAGGTGGATTCCGAATCGTCGAGTGCCGAGCCAAGAAAAAGTGTGTATCGACTATTTGATACTTGCCACACCAACAAAAAAAAATCCAGATCGCTCTTCTAAAAGCTTTAGGATTTCGTTATTATAACATCTTAAATTGCTTTATGAAACTATAGTTTTATTCCAAAGGACCTAATCAACCCTTAATACCCTGTTTTACTGCCAAGCTAATACAATTATAAGAGTCAAGCATAAAATTTGGATTATACAAGAGGTATAGCGATTTATCGGTTACCGTTCCAGGTTATTCCGGCATTACAAAAGGCAATCACTTACGTAAACTCTTCACTCTAGTTTCACTTTTCACCGCTGACCTTTTCTGTTTGTATGGCTCACTTGGCGAATGCTTGATAGCAAATGTGCAGGGCAAACAAGCGAAACGAGCAGTCCACAAGCACACATTCCATTCCCCATTTTTCTCCCCGTTCCCACTCTTTAAATGTCTCCAATCATTCTAGCTCATTTAAATTACATTTCTGTTTGAATTTGTATGCCAAGCGAATAGAGTTCTTTGCATCGACCACATCATCAGCTGTAATCCTCCTCACTTCCTTAGTTATTTTCGATTTTCACACCTCAATCAACTTTATTTAAAGGAAAATGGATATGCGCATTTCACCGCCTGTCCTTTAATTTGTTTGATAAAAAGATTCTTTCCAAGAAATTTATTTTTATTTTAATTGGTAATATTTGTAATTTGCTTTAACTAAAATACCTGTGTCAATTGAATGATTCAAATTTTTATTGGCGTTTTTTTCACAGTGAGTTTTTTTGTGATTTTTTCACACAAGCTAAACTAAACTTAATTTATATTAATTTATATTAAACTAAATCGCATAGTAAAACTAAGCATTGTAGTAAGAAATTAAAACTTAAGCATTTGTTTTTGAGCATCCAACATTTTCTTAAGAAAACGATTCTTTCGTGCATTTCCTAATGAATAGATAAAATCCTCTTTTCGGATAGAACGAAAAGCAAAAGCAGAAAGGAAAATCGGAAAATCTGTGGAACTGAGCTGACTGATTACTGCTGCCCGGAGCTAACATGGGAAGCATAATTACCCGGAAAGTCGGACTTAAGTCGGGCATATGGAGCGCTCCAATTGGGCCATAAAAGTGTAAGCTGATAGCAGAATTCTCCCTACTTGTAAAAACAAACCTAAATTTTAAGTTTTTACTTTAAGTTCTGGTGGGTGAGTCATATTTGCTCGGGCTTAAGCTTTGCAGCGTTCTTTTAGGGGCTCCTCCGCTTCGAATTCAATTAATTACGCGAAAAATGGGGAGGGGAAGCCAACGGAAGTTGCTTTATTTCGGCACGTGATAAATTAATTTAAGCCAGACCCGAAGCGTTCCGTGTAATGTTTTTGCATACACATCGCGAGGCGCCGCCAGGTGGCATAAAAGTGGATCCTTTGGTGGGCGGGGGACGTGGGCGTTAGTGGGCGGTAGTGGCAGTTCAGGTTATCGAAATGGGCGTGGCAACGACTTAATTACGCTACGCACGGCAGCTAATTGAGTTCGTAGCCTGGCGAAAAATAAAACGCCATTTGCTTTGGCATTGAGACAAAGTTTCGCTTTACGGTTACCAATTACACGCAATTTTCATGGTCTTGATACAGTGCGTTAAAGAATGGGAATTTAGAAAATAAATTTAAATTCGAAGTCTATCTATTTTTGCAAATAAATGAATATATATAGATATATGTATATTTATATATTATATTATATAATAATATGTTATTAAGTAATACAACAAATTGTTAATTAATCTAAAAACTAATGACAGAGTTCCATTTAATTTCTGATTCAATTAATTATAATTTTGGGAGATGCAAATCTAATAACTCTTTAAAAAATTACACACTAAAATTACACACTAAAAAAATTGTTCGTCGTCTACTGTGCAACCTCAAAAATTAATTTTTGGAATTCTCTACTTTTATTAAATTGTAAATTATTTTTGCAAAACCACTGTGCTTTTGTGGCTCATTTGAGGACGTGCTTCATGAGCATTTCATGTTTATGTTTCCAAAAACAGTTCCTTAATTGGCTAAATGTTTGAATGCCGAGGCAAACATTTGCCTAAATCAATTTGGTCAGGAGTTGGGATACTTTAACCTGGCCCAGACCTCGACTTTTGACTTGAACCGAAGCAACCGAACGAACCCATCTCATGGACTTTTTTGGCTGCATTCTTGACAGCTCAATTTACTCGTCTTTACTCGCTTATTTTCGTTTCGGGACGCCAGTAATTATAACTTGGCTGTAATCTGCGTATTAATCTCAGTTTTCGTAGGGGGCCAGCACACAAAGAAGGTTTTGTCGGTCCTCGGCTCAGTTTTCCACTTTTTTCCCTATTTAAACATGGAACAAATGCCAGCGAATTTATTTGGTTTATTGTTGCTGATACTTTGCAGCTTTTCGCTGGCTGCTTTTGTCTAATTTAGCACTCGACACGGAATATTATTAATTGGTCTAGACGAACACGAGACAAAAGTCACACAACTCCTTGCTAAGAAAGCCTCAACGGCCATTAAAACTAAATGCATAGTTGTAAACGGAGCGTGTTTAAATAGGCCTGTTAAGTCAATCATAATTAAAAGCATTTTAGCAGACATTTTTCTTAATTTCTTACATGATTTGAAAACGAATAGTTTACAAAAATATTTAAAATATTTTTTTATCATTACTACTTACGAAGCTGGAACACGTGTCAACATTTTATTAATTTTAATGGCTATTTGGTGGAAAAGAAAGAAAAAAGATCTACTATACAAATTGTTCACTTATTGATTCATTAAGATTTAATGAAACAAGCTATGAACTACTTTCCTTTAATTAATATTAAATTTGGATTCGATGGTATACTTTGTATACTTCTTCGGTCCGTCCGGCGAAAAAAAAACACTACGACCGGAATATTCAAAACTTCTACTGACTAAAAATTCTAAAAATACGTAAAATATATTTTTTTTTTTGCCATGTTCTGCTGTTATAATTGTCTGTAGTTCGTAAATGTACAAATTAATTTGACGTCTATTAAGTGGACAAATCAGTTTATTATTATTAAGTCATGCGTGTATAACTTTTCCCGGCACAAATCTAGACCACAGACAACACACGTGTGGCTACGCACGAGGTGAAATCACGTCACATCAGGTTTATCCATCCAAAGTGCCATCGGTTCGAAGACCAGAGCCATTGGACAAGTACTTAATTAGCCGGCGAGGCCTTGAGGAGGTGGTTTGGCCCCTCACAAGGTGTCCGCCCAACTGGCTTTCGTGCCAATTTAAGTTCACTCTGTCAAGTTCAGGGCTCGGGCTCTGAACTCGAGTGTGGCCCGATGGCTTGACAGGTTTGCAGACTGCACCCATGTAGCTTGCCAGCTGCAGGAATCTTCCATTCCGTTTAAGCCCCCTTTAAAGTCCGTCTCCCCTTGCCACCTGTCTTTCAACGTCAGCTTAAGGGGCACATGACTTAATTGTAATAATACATTTTAAAATGTGCTTTAATATATTTATAATAATTTCACACTTTTCTGTAACCTTTTGTAATTATCTCTCTGTCATAATGTCCCTCTCCCAGCTTTTTGGCAAAAAACATTTTGGTTATCAAAAAGGTCCACACAATGCCCCAAAAGTTTGCCATTGACAAGTGGCAAGACCCCACATTTATGCCCCATTTGTGCTACAAAATGCAAAACAGAAACGGAGGAATATTCTGCTCCCAATTTTCGGCACCTGAATTTTGGCTGTTTGGTCGTTCCGCCTGTTGTTTGAATTATCACAGACAATTAAAAAGTTCCTGCCATCAAATTTAATGCTTAATTTTAGTGGACAACTTTGTGTCTAATTGTTGTTGTTTAGCTGCGGACCCGCTGCTAATTTATGCATTACAAAAGGACACAGCTATTTCTACATATTCAGGTGACATCTAATTGCATTTCACATTTGGGCATTGTCGAATAAATATCCACAAAGAACGTGCTGCGGGCTGGTTGAACTTTTTGCCAGCTCTCTACTTTTAATGAGTTGAAGTTGCCGCAGTTTTACGGGTCCACGTGAAGTGGCGGGTGGGCGTGTTTCTAGTGGTTTGGGTGGTGCTGAGTGGCTGTGGGTTGGTTAGTTGCTGCAAATGGGTGGTGCAAAGTTACCAAGTGGCCAAGGGGACAGCCGCAAATTGGCTCGTGTGGTCGGCTTTGTTAATGTCTCCTGTCGCCGTGTTCTGTCAAATTGAATCTTGGATGGGTCCGTTTTATGCTGATGCTCTTTTGATGGGAGTGTGACGTAAGAGCTATAATTTTATCATGGGCTCCATGTCGGTTTTTAACGCTTTAAGTACTTCTGTGTAGCTACTTGAGGTTAAAATTCACGAAAAACAAAGCTCGAAAGATATACAAAGAGGAACAAAGCTGTTTCACTGATTTCCTTAGGAATGACAGACTATTGTGGTTATGTCGTGTCTTTCTCTTCACTGTTAAGTAACATTTTTATAAAAGGGTTTTTTTTTTTTTAATTTAAAAGAATTCTATTATAAAAACTTTCATTTATCATATTACAATCTTAGAAGTGAAATAAATTTAAATAAAAATATAATTTAGTTTTATTAAATTACACCAAAAAAAAAGCATAAGGCTAAGCGATAATGATTCTGCAAGAATTTAATCTGCTGATTACTGTTCCGAGACCGAAAACTTTGCACCACCTTCCAGTTTTGAGAAAATCGTAAAAATCAAATTCAGATTTAAAATAAAGTCATTTTTGTCCACAATTTAAAACACGCAAAAGACGATTCAAATAAATGTTTAAAAAGTTGTAAGGTTTGACTAAAAGTGTTTTAGGTTTTCCTTTTCTATTTTGACACCTGCCAATTACAGTTAACTAAGAGAACAAACGTACTTGGTCTCTGCTTGGACTTCATTGCTTGCACTCATTAGGAACAGCAGTATGCAGTATTTTGGTCTCTTAACTCTTTTTAAGCCACTTCACCTCCATTTAAACCCACTTTTAGCACAAGCCAACTGCTAAACATTTCAATTTGCATGCACTCAAGCTGTCTGCACCAGCCATTTATACTCAATTAGTATTAAAAAATTGCCAACGCCAAATGCAATGCTTTCAAAATACTGCAAAGATAGTATGTACTCTACTCGCCCCCGAAAAATACTTCCATCCATTTAGCAGCTTGAGCTGCAGGCGAAAAACTAATAAAGCTGCACTGAGTGGATTCATATAGTTTTTGGTTTTCATTTGCCACTGGCGGCTCTATCTCTCTCGTTTATTTTGTTGATTTATTTAAGCCAAAAGCTCATTAGCACTCGAAAAGCAAGCTGGGGCAGAAGCAGCAACTTTGTCAGTGCTTTTCTATTATTTGTATGTTTCAGTTTTAATTCCGAAATGTTTACCTTTATTCGAGTGGGGGATTTTGCAGCTGCCAAAGGCGAAAGAAGCTGCCATTGTAATAAATCTGTATCTCGACCGCCTGACCAGCAAACTATCTCAACCTCAACATCAAATATTTTACCTGGGCACTCGTTCCTTGTCGCCAGATATAGTATTTGCATTGGGTTCCCTTAGTTATTGTTATTCCCTAACCCATCTTACCGCTGTCTGAATTTGTCAGCAGCCTTTCTAATGAGTCACTTCAAATATGTCACTCAGGCCAGATATTTATTTCGATTCCTATTTGTGAATGTGAATTTGTGGGCAACTCATGGAAAACTGATGTGTTTGGGTATCACCTTGCGGCAGGCAACATTTGTCAAGCCCAATGAGAATGCAGTATGCATTTATTCAGCAGGCACACAAGGCTCACCGAACAATCTGGTAAATTGCAGTAGTTTGAACTTAATATTGGCATAACAATCACAATATGATTGAACTGGATCCCGGACTGTGTCTCAAATTTACTGATTTTCTGGGCGAAACGCATGCCACACATGCCAGGATATTTGAATACCTCTCCACGTGTGAGCGCTGTCAACGAAAGGAAAATTTTATCTCAGACACCGTAATAAATTATTCAATTATTTGTAGTACAAACTTATGTAAGGAAAAATAAGAACTTAAATTCTAACAAAAATTACAATTACAATTCGATACTTTGCAAAAGCATTCTCCAATAATTTAATAAATTCAATTATTATGATCGAATAAATATAAGTTTATAAACAAGTTTTTAAAATAATATTCAAAATTCATTTTTTTTGTTTTTCCTTAATAATCACATACAATTTATGTCTTACTTTTCAATCAACTAGTTTTAAATAGAAGCTGACATGAATAAATCTCTTAAGACTGGAAGTGCCTTTAATATTTTGTTTCAAAACAGATTTTATGTTTTATCGCCTCCAGAGTTTCAGAGTCCTTGACTCAGTGTCGGTTTCTCCTCTCCAAAGTTGCCCCTTTCCATCTGCCCTTCTGACCAGAGCAATCAAAGGAATCTCCGCTTGCGGCCTTTGGCACCTTGACGCCTTCGTCGGTTCTCTCACCTATTTTCTAATTTTCCTGCTGGCAAATTCAATTAGTTCCGCCTGCCTCAGTTGGGCGAATTCCGGTCCTTCGCCTCAATCAATTTCCATTTATCCGAGCAACAATGGGAAAGTATGGGAGGACCTCTCATTATGCTGTCAGCTTAATTATTATTTTGACATCGCCAGCTGTACATTTAATTACTTGAAATACTTCCATCGCAATCAAGCCGTCTTATAGTAAGTCGCTAACCTGTCCAGAAGGTAGATCTGGACTTGTGTCCCACTGAGATTCAACTTTCGAATGAAAACGAGCTGAGGCAATGGCTTTGTCTTTGGTTTTGGTTTACTTTTCAGCACTTTTATTGCTGTTGTTTACTTGGCGGTTGCTTTTGTTTCCCTTTGATTTTGTAAGAAATAAGAGAGAGTTGTAAGCCCCCTTGCGTTACTTGAATAAGGGTTTACTGCTCCTGTTTATTTTAGTTTGGGGCCCATGGGCATGCAAAAACAATGTAGGCGGCAGTTTCTTCTTGGAATGCGAACAACTACAAAGACTCGAGGTAGTAAAACAACACAGACAAACAAAAGCTAAACACAACTTTCACAAAATTTTAAATAACGAAAAGTTTTGGTTTTTCTAATTCAACAACTTTTAACGGGGCTATAAATAAATAAATGTTATATTTTTCATGTCATTGTTTATGATAAAAATACAGCTGTTTTTTTTTTCTTAAATAAATGACATTTATATTTAAGTAAATATAAGTTAAATATATACCCTGTGAGGGACGGTGTCTCTTTATAAGCGAAAATATTTTTGTAAAAAAGCCTCCTCTAAATTAACACATTTTTTCTCTCATTTTGTTCAACTAATTCTAAACGCTTCAGTTATCCTTCAAAATCATTTCAGCATCTGTCAGTCTTTATTTACAGACCTTTGACCAAACAGCTTGTAAATTAAACATCAAAAGGCTTGACCGCAAGAGAAAAAGAAAGAGAAAATTCCAAGGCTCCACCTTCTGTTCCGTCCATTCATCCCGACGGTCATTTGTGTCTGATGCTGCTGCCGTCGCTGTTTGGCAAATTAACAACATACATCATTGACCTGTAATCCGGGAAACAGGCAGCCGGAGCAGCAGACCCGTAGTCGCTTCCGTGGCATTATCCGTAGTCCTACTTGAATCCGGAGTCGATGCCAAGCTGTCTGCTGGCGTCAGGCTTTGTATTTCGCCTCCATTTAGTTTTGTCTGGCGCTTGGCATATCCGATGGGAAAAAACGAGAAAACAATAGCGATGTGAAATACCTCTTGTGAAATCAGAATAAAAAAGAACGACAACCGTTGGCTGGTCTTGAGTAAGATTCTTAAAAAAAATTATCCATGAGTTATGAAATAGATCTAAAAATAATAAAACAAAATAATTGACTTCAGAGTCATATTTGCTTCTGTTTAGCAGTATAAATTGTTATAATAAGCAAATGTGTAGGTAAACCTAAAATATTGTTTTCTATTTTTTATATCAAGAGGGTACTAAAATAAGTTGATTGATTGGTTTTTTTTTTAATTTCTAATATATGATTAAAAAATCAAAAATATTTTGAAGCTCAGATAAAATAATGTTACTCAATTTAGACTGGGCTGTTTTTAAATAAGTTTTCATATCCTTATAAATATGCTTAAACTTGTATAATGTATGATAATTTATATCAGAAACTATATGTTTTGCAAAAAGTAACCCTATAATCATTTAGCAACATTCTGTATTGCTAATCGCACATACCCCAAGACATTCCCCTTCCGGAAATGAACAATGCAGATAAAAAACAAAAAAAAGCGTTAACAATATGTTAACCCAAGCGGAAATATCACTTAGGAGCAACACAAAATTGGACATGGGCATCGAGCGTCTGACTTTCGTTTCGACCATCAAAAATAAGGAAACAAAAAATCGTAGAAAAACGAAAAAGACATTGTGCCCGGGGCATTGGCATCTGAGCCAAAAAAAAAGGCGGAAAGAATGTGTCAATAATGACTAATGGCCAAGTCGGAACCGAAGCTTGCACAGCAGCTCATTCTGGATTTGCTCTCCCTGCTGCTGACTGGGTATTCCTATTTATTTTTGCATATTTTTGCTGGCTCGCCATTTGGGCTGCTCATGATGTAAAAATGATTTGGGGGCCTCACCTTTTTCATTTTTTGAGAGATCCGTGTTGGTTCCCGTTGGGATTTACTTTTAATTTAAAATTCACAGAAGACGAAAACTTTCGCCCAAGTTGTGTGACCCAATTTTGCATTGGATTCATTTGGCTTTAAGGGCACGACACATTAAGATAAATATCATTTTGCTTTTCAGCTTTTTCCATTTGCATTTGACAAGCTGGAGACCGAGGGCAAACATTTAATTAACTTAGTCTCTCTCAAGTCAAATTCGGCTAACGAGGAGATTTCGACAAGTGCAAGCCTGGTAATGGAGCCTGGCATTAAAAGGCAAAATGTTTCCACCAAAACAAACTTTTCACAAAGTGAATGTATTTTTTTAAATTTAAGTACACTTTAAGTACGCAGAGAAAGTTGGTAACAGCTCGAAATAATATTTACCTATTTGATAATATATTGTTGGCTAAACATATATAAAAAAAGAAATATGAGTTTGAGTACAAATTTATATTTAATATTGAGAAAACTAAAATTAAAAAGGAAAAATTATGTTGTAGTGTTTCTCCGAACTGTTTCTTTTGGATTGGAAGACCAACATGCTACCTGGAATTATTTTTAGCTGAATTTAAATAAAGTAGAGTGGTTTTACTCGAGGACACCATTCATTGATTGCCAATACGACTATCACCGGTGCAAGCACAAACACATCATTAGGGAAAAATGAGCCACGAATTGAAGCTCATTATGGGAAACACTCGGTTAGAGAGTTTTCCTTTGGCAAAAACGTAAACACGTGCCTGTTTTTAGTCAGTTGTTCGGGATAATAATAAACCCTGCTCGCCGGCCAATTGGTAAATCTTTGTTGGCTGCAGCCCACAATTATGGAGAGAAAATGAAACGCTCATCTGTCGTCGAAAAAAGCACGCAGAAACAGAGGAAAAATGGCCCAAGGACCCACAAAAATTCCAGAGAAAAGGAAACTAAAGTAAGAGTGTGCGAGATGAGGAGGCATAAATAACTATGTCCGCACAAAGTAAACCGAAATAAAAGCGAGGCAAACACAACAAACTCAAATTACACACCGCAATGCTGACGGATGGAGGCAAATGGGTGGTTTTTCTGGGCAAAGTGAGAAAGTTCAAGGAAACCGCCGCAAAGTAGGCAACTAATGTTCGCAAATGTTTGTCTGGGTTTGCCTAGGTTTGCGTTCCATTCCATTCCCGGCCATGCCAACTATGCAGGTGAGCCTTTTCCTACCTTTCCTTTCCCTTCCGGTGTGTGCTTATGTAATTAATGTTTTCCTACTGGTCCAAGTCCGCCAGGAACAGCAGGAACTGGAAGTGTGAGCCCAAAAGTTTGCTCCCGAAAGGAAATTGTTATTGTTTTGTCGCCTTAGAAAAGCAAAGAGCCAAAAGTCAGGAAGAGCCAAAAATACTCTAATTCGGGTTACCCTGTAGTTCAAGAAATTGGCAGAATAAGGAAAATATGTAAATACGCTCGTACTCACTTTTCAATTGTCCTTAAATAATAAAAATTAAAAAAAAAAAATTTTAATTAAAAAATATGATAGTTTATAACGTTCAAGAAATATATACTGAAAATATGTATGACATCTTTTAATTAACTGAAGACTGCTGAAAAACAGATTTATGAATTTTGAAAGAAGTATATACTGTACTGTAAGATTAAAATAAAAATAGATTAAGAACATTAAGATTTGAAAGTATTCTCTTCTTAAAAGTAAAATTGATATATTAAAAAAAAGCATTGATAGCTTAATGACATATTGTTCGCAATGAACAATTCAATAAGTTCTCCAAGATTTCCCAGTATAGGGTGGAGCTCAAGGAAACTGAAAGTCGGAGCAAATGGCGTTTGTGTGTGTGCTGTATTCAAGAGAAGATGACCGCCGCCGGGTTTTCCCAACTAGGTCATTGACTTGTCTCCAAGTATTCTCATTTTTCCCGTCCTTGTGCGTGTGTGGATGGGTAATTAAGATGGTATCTCAGGGCGTTGAAATTTGAGACGAAAAACGATTTCTTGTTTGCCATTCGGTTTTTGTGGCTTAGGCAAACCCTAACCAGCAATGTTTTCCCGGAATTTCCCGGAACTCGGTTGGCTTAAAGCAGCATTTTCTGGGATCTCTTTGCGGCAATTGCCTATTCCCGACAGCGTGCCATATTTTTCAATAAGCACAATTGACACCCACTCGAGCAGGGAGTGGCTATGGCTATGGCTATGGCCACTGGCCATGCCGCCACTTGAGTCGAGGCTGCGGATGAGGCAGGGACGAGGCTCACTGACAGTTACCCGGGAGGGGGCTAATTTACGCCTTCAATTTGTACTGGCCGAGCACTTGTTATAATTGATGACCAGTCCGGGACAGCCGCTCACTGAGATAAAAACCTAATCCATTCGTCTCCCTTTTATAAAAATAGTTTATAGGTCTCATTTTTTAAGAAAACTAATTAAAAAAATTGACAGGTTTCTAGAGTACTCGTGTATATTGGCAAAGTTTCTGTACAACAAGTCGTATACACAATATTCTATAGACTTGCGACGTAAATAAAGACATAACCAATATTTTTGTCGTTAACGTAGTTTTGAATATATTTGAATTTTAGATCTGAATTTCAATTTAATTTGAGTAAATTATTTTTATTTCTTTTTTATTAGTTTTCAAAGTATTGGCCTTGAAAACTGTAATTTTCTATCAGTTTAGTTCAAAGTTTACAATGCAAAAATTGTTAAATATATTAACCTTAAATCACTTGAACAGATTATTACAAATCCTTTTTGTAGTCATTTAAGAGACATATTTCTTATAAAATTTTTTTATTTATATTTCGTAGGTCTTGTTTTGAAAGAGTTTTTCAGTGCAGCCCTAAGGCAGTAGAAGCAGTAGTCGGAGAGAGTAGTCGGAGACATGCCTACCCGCTGGCTAGTAATTTACTTTGCTGGGACGATTTTGCCTTCCCACCTCTTCCTAGGTGACGCCACGAAGCAACCACGTAGACCTGGTTCAGAACACTCAATATATCGTATATGTATATGAGCAGCATATTTCAGGCATTTTTATGGCCTAAGAGTTGAGGCATAAATATGGGAATGGGTACAGGAAAAGGAAGCGAAAAATGAAACGAAATCCACGACATGTGGCGTTGTTTACGGAAGAAATTGCCTGACCATTGGGGGTGCCTCATATTTTTGGCGCCCTAATCTCTTCTCTTTCCAACATAAATTCATCATCATCTTTGTCGAAAAAATGCTACAAAAATGTTGATCGATTCGAGTTTGACTTTTATGCCCTCTGTGTGTTTGTCGCTTTCAAGAAAAAAGTCCTTGAAAGGGTTAAATGACTATATTATCCGATTGGGTACGAAGCAAAATTTTACTTTTGTTACTCTTAGATAAAAATGTTTAAAAACTTAAAATAAATTCATTTGACAACATGTTTTCTTAGCACTTTGGTTAACAAAAAAATCCAAATGTTTTGTAATCAATATTTATTACCCAGGTAAAACTTGGCTTTAGTGTAAATTGCTAAAATCTTGAAAACTTAAAAATAATATTTTTTAAAGAAAACATGATACGAATTTTTTATAATATAGCTCTCAGATTTTTGTATTATATTATAATTTTGCAAACATCAAAATGATCTTTAGAGTATCCACCAGTCTTTCTGTTTGACGTACTAAATATACTTCGTATCCTTTGCTGTTAATACTTTTTTGGGAAACTGACTTAATCATCAATCATTTGGGGACCGCTTCTACATCTCCTTGATTGCCCTATGTATTCCACCCGTACAAAGGCTCATCCAATTTGTTCCTAAGACATTGAAAGTTGCCACGCTCTAGTCCTAAATCGAAACCAAGGATGTAGATGGAAAATGCATTTTCGGCCCAATTACTATAACTGAAGAATCAGCTCCTTGAAAATGTACGGTCCAACTCAACGACTTTGGACTTTTCGGCAATTTGCAAATACCAAGAAGTGCGATAAGCAGCGAGAGGGCAATGTGGAAATAGTTTTAGTGTGCGAAAATGGCAAACGCTCGAGTGGCCACAAAACAAAAATTGCGGAAAAACTTTCAATTTGCTCAGCCAAGTATCGGAATCGTGGCAATCATCAGGCAGCAACAAAAGCAGAAATCATAAAACATAAACCAAAAGCGAAAGCCACAAGCAAATGGAGCGCACACAAGAGTACCGGGGAAGTGGCTGAAAACGCTCGAGAACTTTTCAATTTGGTGGCGAAATTTGAGCAATTTCCTTGGTGGTTGTATCAGGCAAGAAAGGGTTAAACCCCCCCCTATTTTCGCCCACCTCAAAAGCTGCAAGTGTCAGTGGGGAAATTATGGGTTGCTTAAAGTTGCTTAACCGCTTTTGTTGCTGCTCGTAACGAGTTTATAATATTTGCATACAAATTTGAAGTACATGTGACCTTTACTTAAGTTGCTTTAACATATTTAAGTGACAAGAAAGTCTCATTTAAAAAAGTATATTGGTTAAATACCAACAAATTCCAGCAATAAAACAACAAAGTGTGCAATTAGTACAATGCCAAAATTTCCTATTAGATCGTTCTTTTAATTTCGATTTTAATGTTTATTTTATTAGCCTCATAGGTGTTTTATTTTTGCGTCTGGCACGATCCACCTGGCTACGCCACTGGTTATTTTTTTTAAACGATTCCCATTTAGGTTTGTGTTCATTGCAATGTGGTATTTGTTTGGCCAACGTCTTTATCCGACTGATTGAGGTGCTAATGTATTTATAAAGCGACTTGGTTGTATTTTTAGTTTCGTATGAAAATCGTATCTACCTTAGCTGGGCGCCTTTTTATCTGCTCATTTTCAGTGTCCGATTTATGAAGTGTGAAGCATTAATTTGATTCCGTATATAGCTGAGAATAAATTAGGTCAAAATGTGCGCGATTTACTGGCCAATTCTTTGAAGTCTGCCCCATGGATATACAAATATCAATTCGTCTACATATACGTTTTATCCTCCGCACCTTTGACTTTGAAAATGCACAGAGAGCAATCATAATTCAACTGACAGCTGAGTTTTTTCCATCAATAAGGCAATAAGTTGTCTGGCTGCCAGCCCCTTCGATCCCATAGTAAGTGCTTTTCCAGCTCTGCCCTGACCTTAAACTTCAACTGGCTTGTTGGCTGGGTGTTTGAGGTCGATTGGCAAGGGGATTTGCATCGGTCTGCGGTTTCCCATTAAAACTCTCCAAGTTGCCAGGCATATGGCTCTGAGCATCAGCATTCAGGCGGGCTGTACATAATTCCTCTGCTTTGGATCCTGCCATGCCTGCTAATGAAGCTTGGATGCCATCAATATGCCACCTATGTACATGACCTTCTCCAAGTGCAAGTAAAATAGAGATTGACATGAAAACGATTTGAAAACTATCTTTCTGTTGCACAGCAAAAACAAAGATATGTAACAAATTTAACAATAAAATTCAAATTATATTATAAGGAAGAGATTCATTACAGAAATAGTTTTTAAATTACCATTAAATTTTCATCAACTTTGTTCTGATTTTTGATGTTTTCCATAAACCTTAAATAACAAAAATATACTTATCATTTAGTGAGTATTTCTTCACAGTCTGTTTAACCTTATTGAATCCTTGGTATACTTAATATATACTCAATATATCTGCTCTTAAAACTCACCATTTGTCCAAAAAGTAATCGTCCTTTGTGAAGTTTTTCCCATGTTCTCTTCATGCCTGCCACTACATTTTCCTTGTTTGTCAGTTAAAGATTTTATGTTGCTTCCTTTGCTTTTTCTTCGTTTATGTTTTTGTACAGTTTTCATTATATGCTCTGTACTTTTTCATTGCAAATTTTTGCAATCTTCAGGCACCACCTTTCTCCCCATTCGTTTTATATTGCTTTTGTGTCCAGTGCATATGGGAAACGGTCAAAAATGGTTGCACATTAGACGAAGCATGAAAATAGTTTTTGTTTTTATGTGGAGAATTTTCCTGCTGTCTGTCCCCATTTCAAATGGAACTATGTATATATTTTTGTATCACGCACGACCAAGCAATCATTGAAACATAAAATAAGGACAAACAAAATAGTTCTATGTGATAAATAGCCAACAGTAATTTTTGATACCTGCCTTAGGAAATGGAAAAAAATCGTTTGTAGATTGTGAAATCATTTAAAATATTGTTTATTTGTATTTCAATCTTTAAGCACTTAATTCCACTTACGTTTATTTATAGCAAATACGTTTGCGTTTCAATCAAGTTACACTTAAAATTGAAAAATATTACATTTATCTTTTTTGGTTTTCTTTCATTTTCCTGTATTTCTTGGACAATTAATAAATACACATTTCTATAGTTTTTAATATGTACTGATTAGCCTTAGTTTACTTTCAAAAGTACAAATATATTTAGTGGGAATGGTTGAATCCCACATTTGCCAACGATAATACCGACTATTGTTTACAATAATCAAGTCAATGATAAATACTAACATTAGTTTACTGTGAGTTTGTTTGAACAGTTTTGTTGTACAACTATTTTCGGTTAAGCAAACAATGGAGGAGAAAATCTATTGTAATTGTATTTGTTTATCTTTTCAACACTATTTTATATTTATGGCAATTCAAGTTGGTTTTTATGACTTCATTAGCATTCATTGAATTCAATTATTACTATTGGATGCACAATTGAGTTAATGTTCGTCTATGCTTAAAAAACGTTTAGCTTAATGTAAATTAAAATGTACACGGTTAATTAAGCTTCATTAAGATTATTATTATGATTCTTTATGCAAATTTTCCATTTTTCATTTACCATTTTTTTACAATCACATTGCAATTTAATTCGATTTATAGATTTTTTCATTGAATACTTTGTAGGTTTTATTTCCAATGGAATTTTTTTTGGAATTATTAGTGTAATTTTTTTTGTTCATTTTCAGCGACTTGTTGCAAACTTCCTCATCAATTAAAAAATATTTAATTCTTCTTTCTTCAAAGTTTTAACTTGAACATTAAGATTAAATCTTTGGCTTATTTCAGTATATTTTTTTTAACTGCTCCACAACCAGCTACACAAACTTATTCTAACTTTTCAACTTTAAAATGTATTTAAGCTTAATGTAAATTTTGAAATTATGCACACTCATTAACACGAAAAACTTATATAAATACTTATCCGATTAGATTGCCAATGCGAAAACGGCAAAGACATGATATTTTAGTCATTAGTCATTCTTCCTCAATGGTAAATCAATTTTTTTTAATATTTTTGAATTATTAATCAATCATTTGTGCTTTAGACTTTAATAAATTTTTGTATTGAAATTTAACGTCTGTTCTGTTACTCCTTGAAATGATTTTATATAAACTTGAATAAGTTTTAAAGCATATTTTATATATTGAAAAAAATTGCTACCCTTTTTTAATCATAGAAAAACTATTTAAAAACATTTGAAAGTTCATTTTTCAATTGATAAAGGTAGTTTTATTAAAACAAATATAAAACAAATTAATTTTTTAAATAAAGTAAATTAATAAAAAAGAAAATTTATTTAACTAGATTGCAGATGCTATTTTGTCAGGCCAACTTTCTGTGTTATAAAATCACATTTAATTTTTTACTTTTTCTGTAATTATCCGGTTGCTGAGATTCCTTTTACAAATTGTGTTATATTTTCCCGTTTCCGCATAGCTCTGCCCTAATGGTATAAAATATCAATATCATTTTAGTGAATGCTTAGCCTACAGCAAGCACTCTGACTGCCTTCTTAGCCCACAATCCATGACCATTTCCAGCTCCACTTCTCTCCGGAGATCTCACCTCCGGGCGATGAACACCACCGTTTCCAGGGGCATCGAGGGAGCCCGGTCTTATAAGTCCGTGTGGAGCACGGGGGGCTTACAGTTGTTGGTCTCGGCGTTGACCACCAGCACGGTGGCCGGATTTCCCACCTGGATCTCCGCGGGCTGAATTTGTTGCATCGCCGGCTGGATACAGGTCACCGCATCCGTGCCCGCCGTTGTCGTTGTCGTGGTGGTTGCCGTGGCCATCGGGGCATTGTTGTTTCTGGCCGCCGCCAAGGCCTTCTTCTTGGCCAATGCCCCACGTTGGGCGCCACCTTTTCCGCCGCCCCCGAGGAGTCGCTCCGATTGCCTGCCCTTGCCGAACTTGGGAAAGAAACTGTTCTCCAGCTGCAGCTGGGCATTCACATCCTTCCGCGCCGCACATGTGCAGGCCTTCATGAAGCTCTTCTTGAAGTTGTCGCTGAGGAAGGCGTACAGAATGGGGTTCATGGCCGAGTTCGAGTAGCTGAGGCATCCGCAGGCCAGGAAGACGGCCAGCTCCAGACGAGAGGCACACCGCTGCGGGGCCGAGCTGATCAGAGCCACCTAAAAATTAACACAATAAAAATACATTTAATTTATCACCGCTCTTCGTTTTAACACATGTTTAAAAGAGAACAGGCAAGGAAAATCCCTTGTGAATCAAATATTTTATTATAAATTCTAATCAACTACAATTAGTTACCTGAGAAATCCAGTGGGGCAGCCAGCAAAATATGTACGCACTTATTACCTGTGGAATGAAATAAAATATAATTAATAACCAAATATAGTTAAGGGCTACAAACAAAAAAATTTACAAAAAAATATTTTAAAATCCATAAATCCATATTTAAAACGTCATAGCTTTAATGTTTTTTTAAAGAATATTTCATAGACGATGTTAGGATTAGGTTACTAATTTTATAGAAATGCATTACCGTGAGCACCAGTTTGGTGACCTTCCGGTGCGATCGCTTCTTCTCCTTGGACTTGTGCTTGGGTCCCACGGTGTGCAGCTTGCGGATCACCAGGCAGTAGAAGACCAGGATGAAGGTCAGCGGAGTGGCGAAGCCCAGGACGAGGGAGTAGAGTATGAAGGTGGAGTCGGTGTGCGAGTTCTGGGTGTCGGGCCACTCGATGTTGCAGGACACTTTGCCGTTGCTGGATTGGACAGTGCTGGCGAAGAGGATGACGGGCAGCATCAGCAGCACGGAGGTCATCCAGGCGAAGGCCGAAACCAGTTTGGACACAAAGGGCGTGCGGTAGCGGGGCGAGGATATGGGATGGCATACAGCTATATAGCGATCCGCCGACATGATCAGCAGGAAGATCGATGAAGTGAACGAGGTGATCGAGGTGCTCACCATGTAGGCCTTGCACATGTAGTTGCCGAAGGACCAGTTGCCCACCTGCATGGTGTACAGCAGGAAGGGTATTCCAATCAGGAAGCACTCGTCGGCGATGGCCAGGTTCAGGATGTATATGTTGGTCACCGTTTGCATTTTGGAGAAACGCATCACCACATAGATGACCAGTGTGTTGCCGAACAGACCGATTATGCATACCAGGGCGTACAGGATCATCGTGATAAGCTTCAGGATGAAGTTGTAGCTGTACGAGCAGTCTGGCCCCTCATCGTCGTACTCCAAATAGTGGCTGCCATTGTCCTGCGGCAACCGCTGTTTGTGGTTCAGGTGGGGACGCGCGTTGGGCGCCATTATTGTGCCATTCAGACTGCCATTCACGGGCCTGTAGTTGTAGTTGTAGTCATCCGCCGCCATCGGTGGATACGATGAGGCCGATTCCGATTCCACGGACTCCAGTTGCTGGACAGTGGTTCCATTTGGCGCCACTGTCAGCTGCTCTGTGGGCGTTATTAAGCTCGTTAGTGTCAGCGCTGTCAGCACAAATAACAGTATGCCAGAATGGACACTGTCGTTGGTCGCGATGTTGCTGCTGCTCCTGCGGTTTGGTGTCGAGTGTCCCTTCACATTGGCTTTCCTGGCCACCACTCCTCCCCCGAGCCACCACCTTCCTCCCATTTTCGATTCGGTTGCGTTTCTGTAAATGCCTGCTAATTTGCTGTTTGCGGCCGGCTGCCTATTTGACATTGCCTGCTAAACCAGCTAAATGGCAAATATTTTGATATGCTTTCCATGCTTTATGTCTGTGACGTCACATGCTGCATGTTGCGGTCTCTGCAAAAAAGAGTGAAAAGCATGCGCGAAACGTGAGATTGATTAGTTACGGGCAAAGGGTTTCAGCATCAGCATTATTAATTGTTATGGTTCACTAGAGAAAAATTTTCATTATTTTATTTTCAAAGTCAAAATATAGTTTTTAAACTCTTATTTTAAGACACAAAACACATTTTAAAGTTGAGCTTTTTGGAGTAACAGCCAGATATAGTTTTCCCAAATTAGAAGATTTAAATTAATTAAAACTTGCAATTATTAAAGATTTTTTAAGTCATTGAGCCTTTTTTAAGCATCATTCGAACCTCCTAAAAGTATTAAATAAAACATAGTTATATTTATATTACCAAAAACAAAGATTTTTATATACGGTTTTTGTAAATTACATTGTTAATCTTTTAAATTGCTAAACATAATTTATAATTACATAAGAAAAAACAATATGTGTAAGTTTTTCAAACTAAAAAAATTAAATGCTTTTTTCAAGAGTACTTTTTTTCCATTTGATTATTTTCTCAGTGTAAATTCATGTAGGTCTGCAGCTTGCTGTAACAAGCGCGTATTATTTACTGACAATATTGAGAGCATGCCATCAGCATTTCATGAATCTAACCTAGCCTGCCTTGCCACGCCCCCACAACCACACCGCCCCCGGGTCCTTTGCTCCTGCATCATCGTGTGAACATCTTGCTGCAGACAATGCAATCAACTATATGAAATTCTGCTCGTTTGCTTGTTTGCCTTCTTCGCGCTGAGCGGCGTGCGAAAAAAAATGATTCGCTATCTGGGGAGTGAAAAATGAAAGGAGAAGGAAAAATAGCCAGGAAAAACCAGCGCGAAGGAAAGCAACACAACTGAAATACATGACAGCAATGCCAACAACTATAAGCAATTAACTTTTCCACATCGACGGACCAAAGGAGAGAATTTATTCTTTGTGCCAGAACCAGAAAAATAATTAAATAGAATTCGAAATGAGTTAAAAGTTTGATGGGACCAAGACCGCAATATTCGGTAATGTCTGAAAAGTTTAAGCAGCAGTCAGTCAAAAAATAGTTTTGCAACTGCAATTCTCTGCTTGAGTGATGATAAGTCTTGACAGGTATATAAGCCATAAGAATGTTCTTAAATATAAACTATAAGCCCATTTCAATATTGTGTTTCTTAATAATATACCAACACAGTTCGCTAATTTGTAAATTAATTAGTAACTTTTGTAAAACATTTTACATTTGAGTTGCCTTTGGAAACTTGGGATCCTAATTAATAAGCAATTTGTTTTGAGCTTTCTTAGGAGCCCCGGGCTAAGTTAAAAATGAATAAACATAAGCGCTGGAGTAGAACGTCGTCCATATGGTGTGGTACATGAAAACTTTGAGCCCGAGGAAAGCCACAAAACATATACACTGAGCGGCTACATAAAGGTCGAGGTCGCAAACTTGTCGGTCAGTAGCCAAGTCACAACTTTTACAGACATTGGCCAATAAGAAGCGAAACGAAGTTTATCGTTGGCCAAAAAACCGACAGAACAACAAAAAGCCAAGGGCCAGTGAAAGGAAAAAGCCTCAGGGGGCAGAATTCCGCCCAACATCGAACGCCAAGCCCATGGCAGATAGAATTTTCCTGATTAATTAATTGGCGTAATCCTAGCTGGATAAACTGCGTGAATCGCCACGGAATTTATGAGCGCAACTCTTCCCGGAATTAAGTGGGTCAACAGCAGCTGGGCCTAACGACTTAGCGACCAGATGGGTTAAAGCTTAACCCCCTGCATTAGGCCCCACAATTAGCTTCGATGCAGTTGCTTTGATGAGCCACATCATAATTGCCTCACTGGAAGAAAGTGTGTCTTATTTCCTGTATCGTTTATGGCACCATACTTAACTTTTATATATTAATAAAAGGCAAATTAAATTAGTGGCAATTAAATAAGACAGAATGTGGTATTGTTCGACCTTAATCAATGTAATAATTTATAATTAAATTCTATTACAGTTTAATGACCACTTAAATTTACATTATCCCCAATTGAGAAGTGCCATAAAATATGTAAGGCCACCTAAAAATCTATATTACTATAGCGAAACAATGCATGAAATTTAAATTATAATCGAATGACATTTTAAAAATATTCGATTTTGCGGCTGCATGTTTTTTGACACATTTTAAAGTGAAATTTGAAGACTTGATAGCAATGCATTTATGGAAACACCTTAATCTTAATAAAATAAATCCAATTAAAGTCAGTGACAATCAAAATAAAACAGAAATTTTGACATTAATCTATGCAGTAATTTAAAATTATTAAACAATGTAGTAATTTAAAATTTAATTTTATTACAGCAAAAGGACCTTAAGATATTAGTCAAATTTAAAATATCAATTGGATTTGAATACTCTTTTATTTTGAGTGTGCACTGTTTTAGACACAATTTAATTAAAGTGTACTTTAACACATACCATGATGGCAGACTAATTTCTGTACCTCCTCACTTTGATTAGCCAGATACATATCCCGATAATTATGCCTTGGTCAAATGAGAAGTGAAGCTTTTCTGCAACATGCGACAATGTCCGTAGCTTTCAGGTCCTTTTCGCTCGCCATTCAGCTTCTGGACGGGACAAACAAGGCAACCAATCAATTGCTAAACATGTTGCCATTGACGATGATGGCACCACGCTTAACAAAGTCCAAACCCCTCAACCCACCACGTTTTGCCACACCCGCACACAAAGGCCATAAAACGCTTGACTACCGATTGATCTGGCCAGTGAAGCGGAAGATATGTGTTTTTGGCTATTCCCTGGCCAGGCCAAAATGGAAGGTTGCGTTATGGCGAAGTGACTGATGAAACAATAATTGGCAGCAGGGGCCACTGTTCTTGTGTGTGGTCCTAATGAGGCAATACCACATGGTCGTCCTTGGTATATGCCGTGCAACGGTAATGCGTTAGGGAAAATAGCTTAAAGGTTCTGATCGATTGATCGATTACAAGCATTAAGCCGAGAACATTATGAGCTTAAATTATGGCTACTCAATATTAACAAAGCATTTTTAAAATCTCTAACGTAACTCAAGATACCTAATATGATGTATATTTCTGAATACAATGAGTCGAAGGATTGAAATAAAATTTAAAGCTTTAACACTTGCTAGTTTACCTTTCCAGTTTATTTTATTTTTTTGGGCAGTTCTTAGACAGTCTTGGGTCATTCAAAAATTTAAATTTAATAGCTTTTATTTAAACGCTTCCAAGACCAATCGAAACACTTAACCATAAATGTTAAACTTGGGTTAATCTCACTGCAGGATCTAGTCAATTTACATTCTTATTCAAATTTGATGCTGCTCAGCTCAGCCAAACTTTGTTAAATTTAAGGAAAACTGAATTGAAGGACCATACAAAATTACTGTTTTCACGTGAAAAATATCTTTTGTTTTCAACGCCTTTGTTTCACCTGAGCACGGCGGGCAAACTTTTACCTGTTATCTTTCTCACTCATTGGCCAAAGTCATTGTCATGCATAGAGTTTCCCTCCCGATCCGCTGCTCAGCTGTGTTCAAGTCGTCTCTGGCATAAATTTTCACTTGCTTAGCGAAGTGCATGGAGAAATTCCACTCCAGGAGCCATTTGCCCCTCAAGCTTTTTAACTTTTCGCTCTGTTGGTTTGTTTTTCCGAGCTTCAACGCCTAATTTCATGAGACTGTGCCGGAAAATCGACACACGCTCTTTTGATTTCCGAGTGGGGAAGCCATTTGCTTAATTAAAAATTACGTTCGATCTGTTGTGCAACTCATGAACCGCAAATAAACGCCAAATCGGCTTATGTCAACCAAGTTAATTGCTAAATACACAAAAATGGCTCACCTTTTCCCACCCATCATCCCGGGTGAATTGGGATGCCTTTCAGATCATATATCCATTTGCAAATGGGTGAATTAGGCGGATTGGCCGACTAGTGTTTGATGAGCTTCTATCTGGATTGAATTTCACGGTTCAATGCGATTAAGTGCATCCAATCAAGGACCGGAATCAGATTCGAAATGTTTTTATGAATGGAGCTTATTCGTTATCAGCTTAATTACCTTTTTTTGCTAACTGAGACCCGATTTCATCTGGATAGGCCAATCCAACTTTTGATGTTTTCATTAGTGTGATTAGTTTTAACTGTGGGTAAATGAAGTGGTTCGTGCTGGCTCCAATGAATATAGATCTCAGTTCGACTCAACTGCATATTAGTCATATCAAAATAATTGTTTTCCACCTTGATGGGTTGATTGTAATGCAAGCCAAATTATTTTATTATATTGTAGAAATCCTATGTCAAACCTTAGTTTTTAAACTCAGCTCTTAGTAATGGCTTACTCTATAAAAAAGTAAGGTTTTAATTTTTTTATATTTTGACTATATTCCACAGAATTACTAGAGTTAAGCAACTCATATGGCCATTAGGTAAAGTAAATAATTTTTAAGTTAATTGTTTTAAGTAACATTTAATTTCTAGAGCATAGGATTACTTGTATTCTTTAATAAGTTGTTTTTTGATTGCTAACATGTCATAACATTGTTTGACACTTCAACCTTTCTGTTGTCCCACAGTTATCCATTATTGGCTCATTTTCCCACTCTTAGCTCGGAATAAATGATTTGCGCGTAGGTCAGGCCCGTAGAAATGTGTTGCCATAATTTATGTATTTACACTTTATTCCCTGGTTCAACTTGATTCCGGCTAAAGTGTCCGTACTATATGTGCTCATCCGTGCGGTGGCATAATGCACACGTTCTCACCTGGATTCTGGATTCCGGATTCCGGGTGCTACGTCATTGTCGTTTGGCCGGGTCATGATTTATAAATAATTAAATATTTATTTTCGCACATCGTAAATGACGTTGGCAGCCATCGATGAGGCTTGGGTGTCTGTGGGGGGCGAGTGTGCTTTGCTTTCGGCATTTGGCCCCAACCATATGCTCATTAATATTAATAAGGCGATGGAAGCGAGC